AAAACTTTGATTTCATGAGCTTCATTAGCCGCTCCCTTGTCCTTGAAAGGATCCTCAGGGTTATTCAGTAGGAATCACTCGTGATTTTTTCCTGCTTGTTAATACAATGTGACATTTAATTGCAGTCAGTAGAGACCTGGTTTAGTGCTGGTGGAAGTTCAGAGCTGACCTACATTCAGGGACATTTATACCTGCTTCCCCACCTGACTTTCAGGGTCAGCATCTGTAGAGCAAGCCTGGCACTTGAAGGGAACCACCTGCAAAAATGAATGGATCTCTTCCCTTAAATAGAAGTCTCTGTTCAAGGCACAGTTTGACCTGCCTGATGTAAAGAGTTTCACCTAGTTCCCAAAGAGATCTTTGCAGACAGCTCGTGTTACGTCCCTTACCCTGATAAGGCAGCACCTTACACAAGGGGGAAATGGGAGTCCGCTTTCTGCTGCCTAGAAATGATGACTCAAATGTGAATACCACTGGAACATCCCAGCTCTTTTTGGTGGATTACCACCATAGATGTTTGGTTTTAAACAGCTTCCTGAAAGGAAGTGCACTGCCATACACAGTACAGAACTTAACGCAAGTAATGAAAATGCTTCTGTGCCTCAGCTGGTATTTCTGCCCCCATATTTGAAATTCCATTTTTGAATCGAACACAATGTGAATCCCACCCTTGCATCCACCTTCAGATATCTCGAGTGGAGCCACCACCTTGGGTACCACCACCCTTGCAGGGAGGAGGGGACGGTCTGCCTGTGTCAGACCTCTAAGGTGGCAGCAGCAGCAGCAACCATGCCCTGGAAGGACCTGTGTCTCTCCATGGACACCAGCCAGGAGCAGCCAAGATGCAGAGGCTAGGACTTCACCAGACCCAACACTGACCCCTCAAACTGATTTGCCAGGCAGTAGAGGCCCTGAAATGCCTTTTAACTACTTCTTTATGAAGGGAAGGAAAATTGCTCCAAGAAATAGGAGAATTCAGGATCCGAAGAAATATTCAATAATATAATTCCACTTGTTTAATATTGGAGGAATAATGACAAAAAGCAAACAAAAGCCACTTGCCTGCTGCATCACGGTACTCCCAAAGGGTCAGCAGCAGGGCAGAGAAAGGAGTTTGCAGCAGGGAAGCTCTTCTGACAAAACACAATGTGGTTTTGAAAACTTCAGGGAATGGCCTTCCCTCTTTTCCCTGTAGATGTCTGGCCTGACAAATGATTTCAGAGTTCCCTTTTTGACTCCAAAGAATATTCAAAGGGAGAATGTTTTACAGAGTACAGGAAGAGGAGTTGGAGCAAAACTGTATAGGGATGCCGAAGCAAAATATAAACAATTCTTGTGGGTGAGCAAAGGCCCAGGTGTGTGTGGAAATTAGCCTGGTGCAAGCTACGGTGTGAAGATAAATGGTTACAGATCTTCTAGAACAGGGCATTTTTGCATTTTTTTTTTTATAATATTGCTTTGCAAGAGTTCAAACTCCACAAAAAAAAAAAAAAAGACTTATTCCACAATATCTGGGGAATAGGAGCAAGATACCAACTCCAGAGCAAGTACACTGGGAGAAAAGAAAGATTTCCACTGCCAGAACTATGTTTGGATAACTGTCAGTGGTCTTGAAGCTCCGTGAAGTTCCTATTACTGAAAACAACTCCCTAGAGGATTTGTGTTGCTGTCTTCCTTTCCTAAACCAGAGAAGTAGGCTCAGTTAGTCTTGACATCCTTCAGACTAACCAAAAAGATCAAAAGCCTAATGAGAATCTCTCGCTCTATTGACCAACACAGCACATCTGCAGTAACTTGCATTTGAGCAGTCTCCCAGTGGCATGAAGCACAGCAGGACAAAAGGAGGCTCAGAAAGGCTCAGTGCTTTAGCACATAACATGTTTTAAATATTCTGTCATACAAGACAACGAACAGGTCTGAGGTCAAACTTCTGGTGTGCCTGGTGAATTTACAGGTCCATGGCCCGTTGAAAGTATTGCAACTTGTTTCTGAAAGCTTTAGACTCTGCAAGCAGTTTCTGTAAACATAGCCCTGCCACAAGCAGTTTTCTCTGAGTGCTGCAAGACGGCCGTGGTGACTGTTTTGCTTACCAGCTAGCCTAACAGGAAAGACATATTTTACTGCAAAATATGAGATGTAAATTTTGAGTGTATGCTAGTGAAGTCAACCTACAGTAACAAGTCCTTAAGTAGTCTCCAGAGGAACAACCTCCCTGGCAACTGATTTTTTCTGGCGTATGGGTTCAGCTGTTCACACAGTCTTCCAAGCAAAACTCCCCTCCCTCCTCCACTCTCCGCGTGTTCCCCCTCGTGCAGCCTGCTTGTCATATGGAGTCTTCCTAGCAAACGGGAGCAGGATTTTGTAATAACCAGCTGGTAGAAAGAAGGAAAGTACATCATGTTACTGGGCTGTCAGAGCTGCAAGGCTCCCTGTTTAAATCAGCCGTTAAAGACCACAGTGTTAAATGGCATATTGAACATCTGCTTGCTGCTAAAAATCGGCTTTTTACAAGACAATCTTGGACTTTTCTGGATGTACAGTAATTTTGATGTTTGTTCATAATGAGGGCAAAGACTGAGCAGCCCCATCTTACTGGGGACAATTATAAACTCTGAGCAAGACAGATGCCAAGACCATCTGCTTCAAGACAGCCAGCCTCTTTACCAGCAAGATGCACGGGATATGTGGGACATTTCCCCCTCTCATATGTGAAAAAAGTCCAAGAAAAAAGCTGGCTAAAGGCCAAAAGAACTATCAAGTTTCCCAGGCAGAACTCTAAGAACGATGGAGATAGTTGCCTGATCTGTAAGACTTCCACCGTAAATGTAATCAGTATTAATAAAAGTAGCAACATATTGGCAAGTCATTTCTGAAAGTTACAGATGCGTGACCCAGGGGAACAAAACCATGATGCTGCGACAGCAGCCCTGCACTCCAGCTTGCCTGTATTCCTTCCTAGCAGTGCAACACACTTGTCTGCAGCCCTCCCAAGATGTTCTTTTCGGCTTGAATCACTATATTGCATTCTTCATCTAATGTCAGAGGAGAATAAATTGGGGGAACTCGAAATGCATGCTTTCCTTTTCTCCCAACGCTGCCTTTTCCCTAGCTCTGTCTGCTCAAGGGCCAGGTTCAGCCTGGGGAGTCTCAGACTAGACTTGCTCTGACCAACACTTAAAGCAATTTCTGGTGAAACATGAAGTGGGGAAGAGAAGGACATGATTTGAGCTGATTAGCCCAGAAAGAAATCTCTTCCCATGTGGCTGCTGGAAAGTCAAGTCTAGACTCGCACCACACTGACACACACCATCTATCCCTGTGTACGGCAAACTAGCTGACAACACGAGCTTTGCAGTTTGCAACTCTCAAGCTGACAAGAGGGAATTATCCTCATAAAAATTCCCCCTGCAGGCTTCAATGCAGATGTGAGAAATTCCACAAAAGATTAACGAAGTGACCAACTGTGAGGGACAAAGGATTTTATCTGAAAGTTTCTAGGGGAATTCTGATTCTGGCCTTGCTGCAAACATTTAATCCCAGTTCATCAACTCCAACAGAATTGATTGAAACATTTCTTTTTTTTTTTCCTCCAAAGACAACACCCAGTATATTACTACAAGTTTATACACTTATTTTTATACTTTGCATATACATATTTTTAAATATATATCTCATGTTCTGCTGGAAGGTGACACACGGAAAAACACAGCACCAGTGACAGAGCCAAGCACTTTGTGTATTATGATTTAAATATTTTTAAGGCATTTGGGAAAGGTGTTTCTGATGTGAAAGCTAATATGTGTTCCTGTGAAAAGTTTCTCTATTTGCTCTATTCCTCCTCTCACCCCTGTTTCCCTGTACATATAACCAGTTAATGGTCAGGGCACACTGTATCTACCCAAACTACTTCAGCCCCCTTTCTTGAAGCAGCACCTGGGGGACAGCATACACCAGAGCTCTACTCCCAGCTCATGAATCAAACCTTCCCTATAAAAAGCACCCTGTTGGAAATTCACCCTCTGTGAGACAGCAGCAGCTCTTTCCCACCCACATCCTGAAGAACAGAGAAACGGGAACAGCCTCTTCTCTCCCTGCAAAGGAGATCAGTCATCGGGACATGTTGGACCAGCTCTTTCCTCTCTCTCCAGGCTCCACCATTTCCTATCTCAGTACACGGGTGCAAGGCTGGGCAAGGCCCAGTTACCACCCATACACTGCTTGTGAAAACAGCGTGTGGAGTTTCTCAGGCACACTAGGCTACTGAGATGGGAAAGTAAACAGAAACATGTAAACTTGTTGCAGTTACACACCAGCACAAACTGACAGTGGAACAACTCTCGAGCTCAGCTTTAGAGTTGGTCTAAAAATGCCTAAGCTCCATGTTCACTCACAAGGGCCTACCTTGTGTAAGTACTCTATGAAAGACCAGAATTGTCTTGTAACCAGTGAAATAACCCAAAACCCACAAAAAACCCAATCCATTTCCTTCTGTCTAGACCATCTGGGATTCTTTGCTTCAGCTTCTATCCTGCTGTCAATTAAGACAATTACTCCTTTGCTATTGTTGATAATAGATGAACAGTGATTGGATTTACAGTAAACAATATAATATAATTCAAAATTGTAATTAAAAGACTGATCAATGGGATAAGATTTGCTACATGTTTTTACTTCCATTATGAGCTCAAAAAGAGAGGAGACTAGGAACTGAAAATATTTTTTTCTCCTGTTACCAACTTGCATTAGTTTTGAATGAACACTGCTAGAGAATGAGTTTATCTGGTACAACTGCAAATTAAAATACCAAATGGTAGGAAATATTTTATATGGACACTGCAAGATGGAAAAATTGCATAAAAACAAGCAGACTTTTTATAAAAAGATTTATTAAAAATAAGTTCTTTTAAGAGAAAAAGTGTGACATGTATATACATTAAATCGTCAAAACCTTCAGGGGGCTTATAATACAAGCTATTCCAAACTGAACAAGAGACATTCACTCTTTTTTTTCTAATATGTCATGCTTACTGGAACAAAACAACATATGGGAAACAAAACCCAAACACATAGCACCCAACCATTACAAGCAAAATCTTGAAAGTGAAGACTACTGGCAAAGGTGAAAGTCAGTCATCATCATGATTCTACAGACAGAAACTAAGACTATGTATGAATGCAGTCTTCAGTTGACAGAATTTATCTGACAAGTGATAGCTTCCAATTAGTTCTTAATTTCTACTCTGAATTAACAAATCTCAGTAAGTGGGTTTGTGCTTTATAAAGGCAGAAGTATTTTGGTGACAACAAAATGCCACCTAAAACCAGGTAAAGAAACACATCTTTTCCAGCTCTTGAAGTAGGTACCAAAGGTTTCTTTTTTTGGAAGAAAGTTAACAACTGCTGGTTTTCTCCTTTGACTCTCCACATCTCTTGACAGCCAGACCCACAAAAATAGTTTTTCTTAAAATTATTTTATTTTACAAAGTGTTTTTCACAAGCAGTGACAGGACAAAGTAACATGTGATTCTGCATGCCTCAGATGACCTCAGCTCCTCATACCCAGATGCCATATTTAGAACTATATCCTTTCAGTTGAGTCTTCTGAAGATTTCTTGGATTTTAGTGCATATATACAGCAAGCTGAGAACTGCAGTATTACACACATCTACCCATCCTTACAGCAGAATTCATTCTAATCTCAGATGGGTGCAGGACTTGCATCTTTAGGTCTTTGTAGCCTCATCTTTAGTCCCACAGTTTAATAAGACCATCCCAGCCGCATGTGATGACTTTAGATGTTTCGTGTGGATGCCACACTGCACCAATACAGACTTTATCATGTGCTTTTAATCTGCTGTAGAGTTTTGTCGTCTTCCAGTCCCAGATGTTTAGTTTTCCATCTGCATCTCCAGATATCACATAGCTATATTAACAGAATTAAAAGTTGTATCACGTGTGAAGACAGCTTGTATTATAACACTATTACACTGAGCAACAGAAAGGAGCTTCCCCCAGTGAGCTTCCTGTCTGACAAACAAACCTACCAAAAAATTAGCATTCATGCTGCGCTCTAGAGCGCACAAGTCCTGCAGAAGGTGATTCATCAACTGTGAGGTAAATGTGCTAAGCAATGCAATTACACCATACACTGTGTTACTGGAACCAAAGAGAATACATCAGCAAAAGAGAAAGTGCCAGAAGTTCCTCTAAAATTTATACACACTTTTTCCACCAGTTTTGCTGAGGTTATTCTCCAGTTTTTATAGTAACTGATGTCTTACGTGCATATGGTAGTAAATGTATGGACATATTACTAAGTCAACAGGAAGAAAGAGATGGTTGTCTCAACAACTAATGAGGATACCTACACCAGACCTAGAAACTGGGAAAACAGGTACTCCAGAGAATGTTGTGGGAACAGACCCTGTGCTGCAGACCACGTGCAAAAGGAGCCAGATGTGAGTCAGACATGGAAGCCTCCTGTGCTGTGCCAGGATGAGGCAAAACAAGGGGAGTCTCTGGATGGTTTAACAGTCATCTTCGGGGAATAGGGGATCTGGACTACACAGACTGTTTTCTAAATGTTTTTCAGAGCAATCCCCAAGCATAACTTAGTCCTATCATATGCTAAGAGTAAACTTTCTGTTCTACCGCTTGGCTAGGGAACTCTGAGGCTGAGCTAATAGCATGGCTGTGCATACATGAATGTTGCAGAGGATTCAAAAAGAAATTTAGTGTCAGTACCTGCAAGTTTTAAGACGAAGTTCATTTCCAGGAAAACTTACCTCATATCAGGTGAAAAATCCACTTGACAAGCGTAGCCAGCTACCATGTGACCTTTGAAAATTTTCTTTTTGTTTAATCTGAATCTGTTCTGAGCTCCAAAAATCAGAATTTGATTATCCATTGACTGGCAAGCCAACCACTTCCCTATAAATGCAATAAGAAAAGGTGATATAAGGGTGCTGCATCTGAATAAAGAGACTTAACTAGAATGTTTTAAGAGATTTTTATAATTTTTCTTGCACAATCATTATGTAGCAGCTGATATTGCAACTGCCAAGAGTCAGAATCTTACATTTGACAAGATTTGGGATCCCTATTCCTACAAAATGCACTCAGGACTCCAGCAAAGCTCTGGCTGTTACAACGATGTGCTGCACCAGTCCTGCTGACATACTCTTAAGCTTTTAAGCTACAGAGTAAGGTTGCTGGTGCATACACTCAGGTAGCTCAGATCAGGGGGAAAACCCCCATCTAGCTGCAATTTATTTCATCACCTGTTTTGTGGGTACTCTAAGACAGTCATCTCTTATTTTCTTTATGGAAAAAACAAGTTTAAGGTAGACTAAGGAGTTTGAAAATACTTACATTTTTGCAACTATTTAGTATTCACTGCTTTAATAGAATGCAATTAATAAAGATATTTCAGTAAAAGTAAACATGGAGGCTTTTCTAATCTTAACTCTATCTCATTTTCCATCTTGGCAGTGCATTAACTCCTGCCTGAGAATCCAATGAAGATGATATGCTACAGAACACCCTAGAATAGAGACTTCTGTCCTTAATTCTGCATATTGTCACTGCCTTTATGGTGTTTTACCCGAACAATGACAACATAAAATGTGCTGACTTGACTATACATCTGATCACTCTTCCTGCTACTAGTTTGGAATCTGAGGATTTTCTTCAGCCTCCCAAAGAAAAAAATGACATGTGTACCCCAAGCATATTATTCTCCTCTTCCACTTTTAAAAAGGTTTGTTTCCTGCATTGCTTAGAAGAAATTAGAGTAGAGTAAGTTGTGCAATTTCAAAAATGGGTTGAAAAAGGCCAGCTGAGGAAGCTAACATTTTCAAATGCAGCTACCTCTTTCTCCAGAATCTTCCTTTTAATATTAGGAACCCACTCTGTTTGTTAAGAATAAAACATTTACACTGCAAAGCAAATACAATTTGATGCTGATAGCTGGCTGAAAACGTCAGATGTGCAACAAGCTGATCAACCACTACTCAGCATAATGGGACTGTTAACTGCAAATCTGGCAACACTTTAATAATGGTGACACTGAAGCTATTTAAATTTGGACAAAACAAATAACTGCCTGTTAGAAGGCTTTTCAGTGATTACTTGAGCCCCTAAACCTTTCTCCTCCCTCAGTATGATTCTAGTTGAAGAACATAAACCAGTGAAACATTAACATTAAGAAACACTGAGATAATTTGGGGTTTCTTTTATGCAAGAGTTATTTGGCCTATATTCAGAACAGAAAGGAACAGGATCACGTACAACATCAGTTTCTGCTTTAACAGTGGCACCACAAGGACTACTGAACTTGCTTAGTACTTTGCCACTATTGTCAGTTCCCACCATTCTTTCTCTTAATATTTCAAATACAGCAAAGAGCACATGATAGCTGTATGAAAGGGAAGAGTCCTTTTGCCCTGTCTGGATGAAGATCTAATTTTAAATGGATAGTTACCCTGATATAAACACTCATTTTGACATATGTGTTCTTCTTAAGACTTTTAAATCAAAACTAGATGCAGTCCAACCTTGGAATAACTGCACAGAGTGACTGGCAAGGGGGGTAGTGTAGGGTGACAGGGGGATGCAACACAATAACACTACAGAGATATAATCAGTAAGACATGCCTTAGTAAATTAGGCCTAAGAAGGCAGTAAAGTGTTAACCTACCATTTGGAGACAAAGTCACAGCTGGCATGGAATGCATGCTTGGTTCAGCAATGTACTTGAAGTCTACAGGAATGTCCCTGCAAAAGGAAAAAGTATGTGCTTTATGAAGACATGGAGAACATCCAAAGAGCTGCCTCAAGTCAGCTGATTTACTTAGTGACTGAACCCTAGAGAACATATCGTGGTGTCCAAAGGAAGAATATGCAAAAGATCAAAAATACTACGGATGTCCACCTAGAGAGCTCCAGCCACACCATAACCTCTGATAACGTGAATTTAACCCCATCAAATGACCCAGAGTCAAATGCATAATCATAATTCCAATTGTTAACACCGTGATCCTTTATTGCCTCCATTATAATTGCAGCTTGTACAGAATTCTTACATAAGTAGCAGGAATACTGCTATATGTACGCACATATCTTACTAGAATATTTTACTGACTTTTGTTTTAACTAGAATATTTCTGCCTTTTTTTCCCCCCCTCTTTTTTCAAAGGAAAAGAAAACAGGAGTCTCTCTCATCTCTCTGACAATGCCCTTTTCCTCCTGATCTCCCCAAATGGGATGCCAACCAATTCCAAACGTTCACAGCTGAACTGAATGGTGAACTCCCTGGGCTCAATCGCATGTATGTTAAGAACAGACACTGTCCTGTACAAAGGCCTAGGGAAAGAACAAGTACAGTCTAATCCTTGCTCTGCAGAACTGTCATTTGGTTTTTACTATATAAATTGAATTACTAACGGTTTGTGCATATTCACAGTATTCCTCATATCCTACACTAGAAGACTGGCGAAGAGAGAAGGCATGCACATGGCTTTCTCATTAAGCAAAAGAAACCTCCAGTAGAAAATAGATTCGATTAATGCATTCAGCAGAAAACACATGCAAAATGTTCTGTAGCAACATTAATTAATACAAAGGGGATGTTTATGACTTCATTGTCTAACTCACACAGCAGAAGGGAGCAGAGAGTGTGGGTGGCTGCCTCCTATGAGCTGCCTGAGCCTTGCTGAATGGCAACACGGTTGACACTAGCAAGGTAATTACAATCCTGTTTTATTGTGGAGTAAGTTCTTTCCTATCATCTTGCATTAAACATGAACGTGGGCAGCAGGGTGAGAAGCTGCTCTGCTGTCAAGAAGTGACACAAATGCTCCTGTGTGTTAAACGTTAAAATCATTTACCCCTCAGCATAAGAAGGGCAATCTCTCAGCATAAGAAGGGCAATCCCTCAGCATAAGAAGGGCAAACCACTTAATACAATCCATGGATAAAAGCATGTGCTTTAGGCCAGGGATAACTGGCTTCCAAACAGGCAGACCTAAGACTACTGTTGGGCAGCAAACATGTAAAGAAGTAACAAAAAGTTCACATAATCTCTTGGGCTGATCAACACACCACCACAGGAAGTGCCACATGCCACATCCTACCCAAACGGTTTCAAACCCCAATTGCAACAGGACACAAGGTTATTGCTGCAGTTAAGGCCAGGTCCTGATCACCTCCCACCATCCAAAACTTCTGCAGACCACCAATCATCTGAAGTCCTCAATGCCAGGTAAAACCAATCCCACTGGAAGCCCTATTAAGCAAAGTTTCATCACAGAAGATGCATCTCTAATGCTGAATTGTACTGCAGCCAGAAATTTAAATGCAGCAAAGGTTGCTCTGCCTTTCTTCTCCACACCAGCTCTGCTTTATTCTGATACCTACCAGACACACTTAGGACAGCTGCAGGATATGCTGCATTAAACAATTAGGCAGAATAAAGAGATACATTTATGTTTCACATTTACTTCCAAATTGCTAAGTAAGTATTATCAGCCTGCTCTCTTAAAAAAACTGTTAAAAAAATTATCAAGACAAATGTTATCATGGTTGTCCGACCTCAAATCTCATGTGATATACTGTTTGGTGAATTTTTAAAATTTAAATACTTTCAAGTCCTTTCCCCACTTCATAGCATTTCAAAGGCTGATAAGTTTTAAATACCAAAAGTGGTATCTGCGAGCCAAGATGCAGAAGTGTTATATTCGGGGGTTCTGATACAACTTCTTCCTTAAGCAAGATAGAGAAAAATCTTTTTAATAAAAGAAGAAAGAAAAACAAACCAACCGAAATCCCCAGGTCTAAGCCAATCCAGTTTTGGGACCTACACCTCATGAAGAGCTCTCTCAGGAGACTACAGTATCTTTACCAGGAATGATGGACAGAAGAGGCCTGCTGAGGGGCATAGCTTTATAGAGGTGACAAGCCTCCAAGCCTGTCAGCACAATAGCTGTTACCACTGTACAGTTCTTGCTTTGCTGACTGACTTGGAGGTAAAAGAAAATAAAAGCCTCCAAAGTCAACTACCAAAATCATTTCACTGTTTATCCGAGTAGGATCAGACACACATGAAGCAAAGACAAATAACACTGCATTTCTAGAAGAGAGAACACAGAATCCATACACACATATCCACGCCAACTTTAATATCTAATCACATGAAATGCAAAACTAGAAAAATCTTCAAGTACTCCTATTAATATTCCTGAATAAACCATTTAATCTGCAAGAGTCCATGCTATACTTGCAGTCTGAACTTTAGGCAACCAACTAACTGCAATTCAGTGCACAGCACAGTGAAATCTATGCATGGGATGAACTCCTCACTGTGATGAAGTCAGACATACCATCCCATTACCAGCTCTGGCCAAGTCAAAGTGTTTATAAAACACACTACAAAATTCCTCTAGACAATTAAAACCAAGCAATTAGACCAGCTTTTAATTACTTGCTTTTAAGGCCATACTCAGGTCATAATTACTTCCACTTTGTTTCTGTAGGATACTGAAGAAATATTGTGCTGAAGAACATATGAAGAAAAGTGCCAATAAGTGCAGTAACCAAATCACCCAAAGTAGCAAATAATTTTCCTTATGAACTTAGGAAAAAAGGATTTGAGAAAGAATTTGCCATGGAAGTTTTCAAGCTCCAAAAGCTTTCTTAGTGAATGTATTAACTTAGTTTTAAGGCATTTAAAAAATCTGGATCTTGAAATTATAGAAATATGCCTACAGACCAATTAACATAGAACATGGCAGGTTGTGAGGAAAGGTTTTCAAGTCATGCCCAGAAAGATGGCATTACATTTACTCTTTATAAAACAAAAATCTCCAACAACTGCATTACAGAATACTGCCTACAGTTGAGTTCCCTATTATTTCAACAAGGGAGCTCTTTCTTCAGTGTACAACAAGCTCAGTACATATTTTTTTCTTCAGAAGAACAAAACTTCTGCTACTGGAACAATTAGGTTGCAATGTTCCCATGCCAGAATCTTTTTGCCTTTCCTGCTCTTCCCCACAGAGTGACTAAATCCACCCACTTCACTATTTATTTCAGCCATCAACACAAAGCTCACAAAACAAGGGCAATCCAATCTTAAGGAAATAGCAGATTTGTGCAAGCAAGATCATCCTCCCACTCACCAGAGAGAAGACATTCCTTAGCAGACATGGTATTGTAAAGATTTTTCTTTAAGGAGCTCAGTAAATGCATGGGTCTGCTTATGAAGTACTGAACAGAGGCTCTCTCGGAGTGGCATATGGTGACAGCATTTTATGTCTAGCCTAAGCCTGAGTTCCCAGACTTTGGTCATTCCCACTGCTGCTACTGGCAATGATAGTAGCTGATCACAGACATGCTGAGGATTTAGCTGCCTGCTTGGGTAACATTCCAATACCACAGATTGGAGTCTCTTGTCTAAATTGAAAAAAAAAAAAAAAAGCTGGGAAGGAACTGATTAGTCACAGAGCTGTTGAACTAGCGTTTGTATTATGCAACAGCTTTGTATGTGTGAACACCAAAAGGAAATGAATACCTAAAGATATGGGAGTGATTATTTCAAAATGAAATTTCAAATCCTAGAGAAATCTTAAACGTCCAAAATTGAAAATCCTAGTACCCAGAACCTTGTGGAAAACATTTCAGATAGGAGAGATCTGTTTTCTCCCCAGGTCAAATGTTAAAAACTGGAAGTCATTTAAAATATTTTTTTCTTGGACAGACTCTCACCTTTCTGTCATCTATTGTATTCATACTGTGAGTATCACTGACTGCCAAAAACACCCAAATTACCAGAAAACCAGAAATGAATCTACACTAAACTAGTTATTTCAAACATGGGCGAAATATATATAATACTATGCACATCCAAGTTCAAAGCATTCAAAACCAGCACACATTAACTGTAACAAAGCGAACATTTCTTTAAAAGGTTAATTTAATGACTAATACACCCTTGGGGAAAGGAGAGAGAGCAGAGACCACTAATAGAGTGCAGCATGCCTCAGGCTGATACAGTTGTCTTATGTTTTCTTTGGGGAAGAGGAAATCTATGAAGTGTCTCAAGCATTAGTTATAACAGGGTTTTAATGCTCTTCCTCAGTTAGCTAGAACTCAGTACACTCCAGCGGTCTATGTGCTATGTATACCTTTAAAAATAAACTCTATTCTCAGTTTGCTCATCATATACTTGAAGTTAAAATTGAAAATTTTAAACTTACCATTCCCAGACTCTTAAACTCTTGTCATCAGATGTACTCACAAACCTTCTATTTTCATCCACAAACACAATGGTGTTGACAGCTCCCAAATGCCTATCGTATTCTTGCACAATCTCACCACTTCGAATATCCCACTGCAAGTAAAAGAGTCAGAATAAGAATTTGTTTTTTTACTAAATACCAGAACTTTTAAAGAAATAAATACTCAGTAATAAATACCTGCACAATTTTCTTATCTGACATTCCTGCAACAAAGAGATTTTGTTTATCTTCATCAGGATTGAACTTGACACAGTAAGGAACCTTCCTGTTTGTGAATCTTGAAATACATTGCCCTGCAACAGAAAGCCATTCATAGTGCATCACGTTGGAAGTTCTATGGGCTGATTGGTTGTTTGCAGATATTGATAAAAAATACTTTACTAACAGTAGAAAATACTTGGTTTAAAGTCCTTGAGAAGATTAGAGGGTAGAATTTGCTCTGCTCTTTGATTAGACCTTCTTTCCCATTTGTACGCATACGCCGGCATAAACATGTGCACATACAAACTGTTCTGTAAGTTTACTACAGCTTTTGAAACAATATGACTGCTCAGTAACCTGGATGTCACCAGGACATATCAAGAAGATGAAGACTGGTCAGGATATCACATGCTGACCACTGTCTTTGCAAAGCATCACCTTCTTAGGATCAGATGTCTTCTGAACAAGAGATGCAAACTCAGGCAAGAATTCCTCAAGAATAAGCTTAGAAAAAGCTGCAAAATAAAGCCCTGATCTCCCCTCATAGCTTCAGCCAAAAATAACCTGATTACATGTTATCTGTAACTTACAGGAGCTCATTTTAATCCAAAAGCTCAATCTAAATAACTGAGTTCAGACTCAAGACTGAAGAATCTGACTTACACCTTTTTGGCTATCATCTGTATAAGACTAGTGGCACTGCCAACCCAGAAAGCTAATGTCTTTTTCACACATGGGAACTTCCTGTCTTAGGAAGAGACTTCAGTTTAAAATAGTATTGAAAAAATCTCTCCTGTATTTTTTTAACTTCATAGAATCATAAAGTGGTTTGGGTTGGAGGGGACGTTAAAGATTATCTGGTTCCAACCCTGCTGCTATGGGCAGGGACACTTTAATTTAGGAAACTTAAGAAACTATTTGTAGCAGAATGTTACAGCGCATCTGGAAGGCAGTTGTGTGAAAGCATCACACCTACCCTCCAACTTTCTATACCAGCAGCCCAGTTTCCTAGTCTTATTCTTCCTATTCCTATTCTTATTCAGGAAGTGGAAGATAAAGTGAGAGAATTCTTCTAAATTAAGCATATTTAGGTCTAAAGAGTAATTTTATCCCTGTAGATGTAAACATGCAATTAAATGATCTATCAAAATGTTGTCTTTTTTTCTGAAAATTGTTCTAGCATTACAAATAACTATCAAACTTCTCAAATGAAAATGTGTATAAAACACAGGTATATAGTTCGTGTCAACTGCACCATTACAGACCACAACAAAACACGAAGGGGAAACAAGACTATTCACCCTGTCACGAAAGGCTGAACACTGAGCTACAAGACAATATGAAGGATATTTGGAAACAACCTGAATGATAATATATCTTTATATTCACTGTTAATTAAACATCGTGCCAAATAACAATGTTTACAAATACAAGCCTACCTGTTTCAGTGTCCCAGAGTTTAAGATAGCGGTCATATGCAGCACTAAGAAACTGAGTGCCTGCATTATTAAAACAGATGTCTCGAACAGCTTTACTGTGTCCTACAAAATAGAAAAAATATGATGATAAACTTTCATCCATTCATGTTTAGAACTAATTTGTTGGGAGGGGGGGATTTAAACAAAAACTCTAGTTAAATGCTCCAGTCTAACAATGCAAAGAAAACAAGAAAATCATTTATTGAAGTTCTTCATGACAACTAGTAAAGAATTCATGTGAAAAAAACCCCAAAAACTCCTAAAGAACAATGTGAATAAAACCCCAAAACCCCTCACACCTCTAAAGCACTGGAGAAATGAAGACATTGCACAGAACCAACCACTGTGTGTCATAAATTGATACATAAGCAGAATTTCAGGAGAAATTTAAAACACTGTAACAAACGTCAACATTTAATGAAAAATAGGAGAGACAAACCCTACAGAAGACATATTTAAAGGAGAAACATTTGTAATTAGAAAACAGGTTAAAATATGGGACATATTAGATCAGAAAATTAAAAATGCTTTCATCTGGTGGAAACCTTGCCACCCTCAGGCTCAATACCTTCATCTGACCACTACATCAGACTTGTAAATCTCTTTAATTAAAATACTGGCACAGTAACTTAAATATAGCAAAATAACAGGCGAATCTGGTTGATAATAAGGACCTTTAGAGAAAAAGAATTTGACTGTTCAGTAAGAGCAGTCTATTGAGAGAGAATCTTTTTTGAGCAATCATCTTTGCCACATTCCTGTCATCAGAAATATTAGGGGAGAAAAGACTTCTTTATTGTTACTCAACATATATTCACTCAGTGTTCTAGAAATGTTCCCATTTCAAAAAGAGAAGCAGCTGCTTTTGTTCTGCCTTCAAGGCTGCTAAGAAGTTTGTATTTCTCTCTCTCTCAACTATCTGCTTCAAAAAGCACCTGTTACATGAACAAAGACAGCACCTGAACCTAAAAAAAATTTCCCATGCTTTTGCACTAGAAACTCAGCACAGAGGAAACGACCTATTTAAGGTGGGATCATCAGAGCATGAGATGCCCTCACAGTATAAATACAAAAAGCTGCTGTTTCCAGCATGAAGATGGGGCAATTTAATTTCACGATTTTGCCTTTGGAAAGGATCTTGCAAAAACTATTGATGATTGTCATACACTAATGTTTTGTTTTAAAGGTTGTAAGATGTTACACATCAACATCGGACTGCTTGGAATAATGACAAGATTTTGTTAAAAACTTGCATCTTTTTCAATTCTTACTGCCAAGATCATTCCAAATACCATTTGCCTTGGATGTGTACGAGTCCTCTCTATGATAAATAATTAAGCTAATCTAAATCATATTCTTTTCTTTTAAATCAGTTTAAAAGAAAAACTATTACCAATAAACGTTCGTAGACATCTTCGATCACCATATACTTCCCACAGCTTGGAAAAAGAGATGGAGAGAAAATATATCAATTGTTAAACAATAATGATGCTGAAATTAAGTGCAAACATATATGGCAACATCTTTTAAGAAATTAATCACAAACATATGACATCTATTGATTAGTCACAACTATCTATCCAGAAATTCACAAGAATGCTCCCACCTTCCTATTAGCAAACCCCCCTTAAAATAACTAAAAATTCCATACAATATTCCAACTTTAAAGACTTAAGGTTTTGCTACTGAAAAATCCCAACAACATCAGCTTTCTAATACGGTAGATGCTGGACTAAAGTGAGATTAGTTCAAAAGCACAAATGCTTCAGTAAAACACTTCAGCAGAAACCTACTGTTAGTTATAAAACTAGGCTTCACAGAAAATGAATTAATATAACAACAAAGGCAATACCCTGAGGTACTCATGACCTTCTAAATACTATTACTAAATGATTAACACTGTTCTAACAGCCACAGCCTTATGTATTATTTCTATTTTTGTTCCAATGAAATTGTAATTTAAAAATCAAGTGAGAAAAATAAAAGTAACAAAGACAAAAGGTATTTGTTAGAAATACCAAATGTTTTTGTATCCTAAAATGCACTGTCTGTATTCAGAAAAATAACTCACCTTAATTTTGCAATCCATAGAGCAAGACAACAGTATATGCCCAGACAGAGGAAACAATCTAACTGCACTGACACCCTGTAAATAAGAACATAATTAAACAGATACTTCCTCAGTTCATTTGCTCTCTTTTCCAAGCAAAAAGCTAAAGCTTATCTTCATAAAATATACAGATACTGTATCCTGAAAAGAAAACCTATCCACATTCCATTTTAGAACAGTGATGCATTTTGAACAATTGTTATTGGCAACAAATTGATTCACTTTAACAGCTGTATATGTAGCCTCCTTCAATATTCACACCTTTACTGCGGTAAACACAGGAAATAAATACAAACTTAGGGTTCGGGTGGCTGTTTCTGTGTGACGAGCCTTTGTAAGTGGGGCAGGTGAGCAACTTTTCCACAAAAAAAGTTTTTTGCCCAGCTCAATTTCTTACATATACTATCAGTGGCTTCTACCTATTGAACTCAGATTCCCTGAGCACAGCATCTTCCCATCTGTCTGTATTTCAGGTACTCCTTTCAGAGGAAGTCTAAGGAACCCCCAAGTACTCATGGCTTGATGCCCCTCCTTTTCATTTCCTATCAATTACTTTATTCATATGCCATCCAGTTCCACCCTCCCACCCCTGACTGGAGTTGGGTACTTTATCCTCCCTATTACTGTCTACTTATATCCTCCAGGTTTTCTAAAATTGTCCACCTATCTTTCTTTTGCTTCTCTCATCGATTTCATTATTCATCTCGTTTGAAGGAAAAAGCTATTTTGTGCATCAGTCTGTTGTAATAGGATAATAGGCAGAGGAGTGACTAGAGCTTTGGGGAGGAGATGTTATTCTGGAAAGCCCTGATAGCTGCAGCTCTAAACTCACTGATGCTGCAATAAGTAAAGCAGATCTCAGATTTGTGACAACTAAAAAAGGGTAAAAGCTAAAAACATTTCCTGTGTCCTCCTTTCTTCTGGCTTTCAAGTATTACGGTGCTCTCTGCTGCAGTGCAGCATATTCCCCTCAAGCATACTAATACTGAAAATTAGTGACAAAAGAAGCAGCAAATTGAGTATAAGCTTTACAAACCTGATCAGTGAAACACTCTTTTAATACCAAAAGTATGTATACAGTTACAATCTCTTGCACAAGAAGAAACTGTGGATATTAAGTAGTATCAAAGAAAACTCTTAACAAGACACACATCTCAAAGGTAATAGCTGATGCATCATAATAAAAAAACCCATGTAATTTTTTTTAAGTTGGATACGAAATAGCCCTTAAGTACTTTTACTATTAAAAAACCACAAACCCCCCAAATTCTCATGAATCTCTAGATTTAGCTTTATTGTTATTCACATGGTAGTTCAGGAAATAACTCCAAACCCCACAGAACTCACTGGATAATACTCTTCCCCTTAAGGGAGAACCATTATGTTGACAGAAAAGCATATGCAGCTAGACAACTGCACTTGAGCAGCCAAACACCTTGTGTGAGCATGTAATGCATATGTAATGCAATTACATGCATAATGTGGTAAAGATGAAAAAACTCTTTCCTTCTACTGAAGCTTCAGTTTTATAGAAATTACTAGCTGCAGACACAAAATTAAGTGGGTTTTTATGATGTATGCTCACAGACATTCCTACCTTTGTATGTCCTGACCACACATGGATTTGTTTCTTTGGAAGATAGCACTTCTCAGGTGGCACTGTAGAACGAAGATTAACTCCAACATCTTGCGGGACATGAAGATAAGATCTCCCCTGATAGTCATACATTTCCTTAACTGAAAAGACAAACACAGAATTCTGACAATCCAAGAACCTATATTTTAAGAGGTTATAATCTTTGGAAGGCTGAACAACACACACAATCAAACTTTTTCTCAACACAGCCGCTCTGCTGTGAAGTGGAGAGAGAGGTGAGAGGCAGGGGTAAGAAAAACCCACTTCAGAGGATACGGACATGGAATCTTATTTGACATCAGTTAAGATCAAATTAAGTCACTTCAGCAAAGTCTGCTTGGAATCTGNTACACATCTTACTCATCATTAAATGGTATGAGAGTTCCCCCGACCAACAAGGGTTTGCTTACACTAACTCTACATAGATTAGAATGTGGAGCTCTAACCCTGGCATTTGTTTGCAACTCTCATACTGGCCAGCTCTGTGCTGTGTCAGTCATGACAACAGAATTGCAAATCAAGGAAAAAAAAGATTCATTTGGCCAGCATGAACCAATATTGGTCAGCAATAGCCAACAACTGCTCTTGAACTAGATTTAAGAAGTGATTGGACAGTCAGACATACAGGGATGGACTGTGCATGGAAATGGTTATTTCAGAGTAGACATGCTGCATAGCCATGACATTAAGTTGTGCACTGATTAAATTAATTTCTCAGTTTGGAATGTTGCTATGGCAGTTTCGGTTGTACAAGTGACCTCCTGCACAGTGTCCACGTTTACATTGTGTCGTGTTTATATTTACATTAGATGTCTACGAAATGGCATATTTCTGGAACGTTTGTGTGTGAGAAAATTAAAGTTTATATTGCAAGGTCTTTCACTGTGAAACTTCAGGTACGGAGCATGAGAAGTTGGATACAAGATAATTACTCTACAGGAAGCTCAATGGCTAAAATTTCATGTTTGTTATGCGCAACACTGTTCAGTAAATATTCTCACGATCTGCTACGATCTACTATGATCTATATAAACAGAATGAGTACTGATGTCAGCAATGCTGATCTCACAGCCACCACTTCTTCTTTAACACTCATAAGAAGGGATGCTCACAGCTTGTGCGTGTGAGCCTGGCTGTAGGAAAGGGTAAGCAAAGAGAGACTCTGTTTACCTAACTATCTGCACCAAGTAATATGAGGCAGGCCTGTTTTGTATGGAGCTGAAGTAACAGTTTCAAAAACTTACTTTATTTTACTTATTTACCAAACCATTTTCTTTGAAGGTACCACATACTATAGGTTTCCATAGGGTAATTAATTGACAGCAAGTACACTTACATTAACAATTGAGGAAGTATAAAGTCCAAGTGATTTTCTAAGTTGTGCATAAGCCATAACTCAAAGCACTATATGCTAATGAGAATACTGACACATAAAACTACAGTAATTTTGAAGCTGAAACTAAGCCAAACTCATAACTTCAATATGTTTGCTCTGTAAAATAGGAAAGGGATATATGCATCTAGTAACATTAAAAATAAATAAATAAAGCCAGAACCCTGAAAAACAACATATCCATGCTGCTCTTCACAGTATGAAGTGGAATTAGTCCAAGTTTATTTCTTTTCCTGTCCTTTATGCTTATGCCCGTGAGTGCTATTATCTCCAATACGGAAACATCAAGGTGCCTCAGCAAAACTGAGGCTGTCTGCCATCCTTACTAATTAACACAGCAGGCAAGAAAACACAGCAAGCTAGAAAATGAGAACAGGCAGGAAGATGCCATTACCATGTAATATAGTCTTCTCCTCTCCAGGTTTATCATCTTCTAGTTTTCCTCTCTTCTGCCTCTTAGCTGTTATTTCATCCAACTCCTTCTGCTCTTCCTGGAAAAAATAAAACATGATCTTTTTAAAAGACAGCATTCAGAATTACATAGCAAAATCTAGAACTATAGTGCTGTTTACTCACTGCTAGGAACACATTTATTTGCTAAATGAGATTAGAAATATTTCTAAGCATCAAGAAAGAGAATACCTTTATCAAAACAATAGCTTAAAAAGCTATGTACACTGAAAAGAATCATCATCTTTTTATTCACAGACTACAGTTAAATACTGACTGAACAAGAACTGTGTCTGTTGGTTGGAGGGTTCAGGGGAGGGTGTATTATTGGGGCTTTTTGTTTGGCTGGTTTTTTCTTTTTTAAAAAAGTTTTACTTTTTTTTTCAAGCTGCTTCTGTCTATAAACACCTTTTAATCAGACTCTACATACTACACACAGATACAACAAATATTATTTCCAATCAGTCTTACAAATAATAGAATGAAGAATATTTGGAATACCTTATGTAGACATATCACCTTAAATGTTCCTATCACCTGAAAGCATAGCATGGATTTTCTGCTTGGACAAACTACTAGTGCAGATGGATCTCTGTTAAAACCACTGCAATTTCGTACTAAAAATTTGTGCCTATTGTGTTAAAGCAGTACTTACTTCTGATGGTTTGGCTACTTCTTTTTCATCAACATACTTTGCCCATGGTCCCAGAAAACCATCAATATTAGATGCATCATTCTCCTTGAATTTCTTTCTTTTCTCAATTTTCCTCTGTCCTGTTTCGAACACTGTTAAACCTGAAGAAGGAAACAATACACTGCCTAACTGCTAACACAAAATACAACATCACAGGTCACACTATAGTAATTTTAAAAGAAAAAGCCACCACCATCTCTCCTTTCAATACGAACAGCAAAACGGAAAAACCATTTGAGCAAAAGGGGCCAAATCATTGCCCACTTTTCCAGCTGTGTACATCGCTAACTATGCACAGTAACAGAGGAACCACTTTAACTGTGTGTCATCGTTTGTTAGGATATTTAACCAGGCATGTACCCATTAATTTTTAACAATAAGTCTGCAGACTGTAAGAATACATCTGTTTTCCTATTTTCACTAGTGCAGTTTTTGACAGTAGAGTCCACAAGTGGCTTCTAATCACCCTCAATCCTCAGACTTTCAAAAAACCCCTACCCCAAAATGAAAATAAGACAAGTCTCCCCAAACCTCAACCAAAACTGTGCATTTTGATTTAGTAAAAATTCATAGAATCATAGAATGGTTTGGGTTGGAAGTGACCTTTAAAAGTCACCTAATTCAACCATCTTACAATGAGCAGGGACATCTTCAATTAGATCAGGTTGCTCATAGCCCCATCCAACCTGGCCTTGAATGTTTCCACAGATGGGGCATCCACCACCTCTCTGGGCAAACTGTTTCCCCACTTTCATTGCAAAAAATTTTCTTCCTTATAACTAGTCTGAATCTACCCTCTTTTAGCTTAAGATCATTACCCTTGTCCTGTTGCTGCAGGCCCTTTTAAAAAGTATGTCGCTATTGACAGTCACCTGACTCCAAACATTTTCCTGTTCTTTCATATAAACATCAGCTTTTCACAAATGTTGTGCTCTCAGAATTTCATTTGTCAAAGCCATTAAACAATTTAGATATGGCAGAAAGAGTAAACTTTAAGTCATTAATATATTTTAAGTTTTTCAAAAGGTTGTATATACAACTATGTGCAATTTTCAAACGATGTCTTTCTAGAGCAGCAGTAATACTCATTTAGTGCAAAAGAGACAAAAAGAGCTTGAGATAAACAAGGGGAAAATAGGCAATGTAAAAACTGAAGCAGTTATCATATGAAGGAATCATACATTAATCAAGAGTTTTCTTAAAATGAATTACTAAATTCCATTATGAAAAGGTTAATTTTTAATTTTTTTTATATGATTTAATCTTAGTAGTTTCTTTCTTTGGAAGGAAAGAGTGAAATAACCTTGGATATATTCTGAGGAAAAGGACATAGAAATAAAGAACCTTTGTATATATATGTGAATAGGATGTTTGAAAAAGATATGCAAGGGAAAGCATAACCATGAAGTTTACACAGCTACAGTTTTCCAAGTCAAACAAGTCACTTAAAATGTTAAAATATCTTGTATCAAAGTATTAATTACAAACCCCATGCTTCTGGTATCAATCTTCCCAGTGGCATGCCATGCCTTTACTCTTTGGCAACCTTCCAATGGTTTTTCTTTTCCAAATAACCCAAAGAGCTTAACTCCACTAAGCAGAGATAATATGCAGCTCCCAACAGGAGTGCTAAAGGTTGCAGACAGAGAGATCACTTTGCTCCTGAGTAGCACAGTTACGGTGATTAGCCCAACATACAGGTATCCTAATGCAAGACACATGACACCTTAGCCAGGACAGAATTTAGGAGGACCAAAAAGCTAATTCAAATATACAGATAAATTCTATTTGTGCAACTACACATTGCAAATCCTATTTGAAATTTGTCAAGACAGGCTGAAACGTTTGCTACTTCAAGAAAACAAAACACTCCAGTATCTCTCTATCCTCTTTCCATTGCAACACATCTTTCTTTATTGTATCTTTGGACATGGGTACATCTCCCATAATTCTTTCCTTTGCTAATACCTATTCCATTTCTTAGTAAAGAAGAAATGAAAACAGTGATCAGCTACAAGTAATTTATATGAGATTCTGGATTAATTACCTTGATTTTTTTCAGCTTCTTCTACAGAACCAATATACTTGGTAGCAACTTCAGGGTTATCTATGGAGGGATCTAATGCATAACCTAGAACAAGAGGAAAAAAAAATACTGTTATTTCAAGCTTTTCAGTTTAGTATGACTTTCATTACTCTGCCCCCCTGCAAATTTTTCCCCGTCGACTCTGAATGAGCTTGGTATGAGGAAGAATTGATACTTTGGAATCCCATTCATTTTTCACTTGGCCTGAGTATAAAGATTACTATGAAGTAGTACCTTGAAGCCCTTGAGTACATATTGCTATCAGAAAGCTTATATTTGCACAATATTGAGAAACAAATAAATATAATAGGCAATGGTTAAAATGAGATACAAAGTGAGGGTAGTCACAAGAAGCAAAGTCACAGAATCCTTCTGGTGGGAAGGGACCTCAGGAGGCCCCTGCAGGGCCCAACACCCTGCTCCAAGCAAGGTCATCACTGAATTCAGACCAGTTTGCTGTACAAACATTAGACTCTGAAGTGCCATAGCAACCTCTTGTTGTAACATGGCATAAGGAAAAGATAGCTCAAAATCTTGTGTTAGTGACATAAGATGTTAAACAGATTCTGCTTTAGTTCAGGGCACTGTTCCTTGGTTTGCAAAGCCAGTGAGTCACATGGAAACCAGCCTGTGGCTGCTGCACACAGACAGCCCTCCAGCTTCAGCAGCAGCCTCTGGCCCTGAAGCCCTCTGCCCTGCTCACCACCTCTGCAGGGTCAAATGGAGTGCTACTCATCTCTGGCAGTCCTGGCGATGGCAGCAGCTGGAAGGAAGAGGACAGAGATGGGGAAAAAATAAAAGCAAATGAAGTTTTCCAGGGCTTTGTGCGTATTCTGTCTCCACCAGCAAAAATTTAGTCCTCCTCCTGCCAGCGCTGTGAAAGCTTGTTCCTTCAACTTGAAAGCGGTTGCTTTACCTAATGTGGATGGTACTAGAAGCAGTAGTAATGCCCTTTAATTTTTAAAAGAATTAAGTATTCACATCTCCATTTCCTGATTACAGCTATTGAGTCTCAATAAAAAAAAGAATAAAACCAAAACCAACAAAAAACCCCAAAAAAACTCCAACCAAAACAAAATCTGCTGCATTTACACTTATAAATAATTTATAAAATGTATCAGCTTTCATATATATTCAGGATATTTACAATTTTTGAAACTGAGGTTGTCATTTTAATACACATCTTACATTTTTTCTCCATTTCTCCTGAAGTGGATAGCATGATCTTACGAGAATAAGATAGACAAACAAATTCATCTGGTTTCCAAGGAACAGGTGCATTGAACAGTTACTGACCACTATGGCTTTTTTTTTGGGAAAGACTGCACCCTGGTGGACGTAACACCAATTTTTATTAAATATTAAAGTGACAAAATGTCCCTTGAGGACCCAATGAGAATTTCTGTGTATCAGGGAGGGGGAAAAAAAGCAATAAAGATATTAAACCACTGGCAAACACAAAACCAATGAAATCCAACAGCATACAATCCAATTCCTGTATTTTTCTTGATTCATAGAGAGAATCAAGAACAGTGGAAGATTAGCCAGTCCACCCCAGAGACCAACAGCCCACAAAACCACTCGGGTGCATACAAAGCGACAACCTATCAATACCATCCCAATAGCCAAAGGAGATTGTCTCCCCAAACATTTCTCAGAAAGACTACTGTCCCAGAAGATGGCCCAGTTAATTTCTTTTTTAGATGCTGGGAAAAAAAAACATATTATGGAAATTAGTAGAAGAGCCATTCCAAGAACACAGCAGGTATTCCCATCCAAATGGAGCAATCTACCTGTTGACCAGCTCTTGAGTTTCAAACCTGGTAAGAGCCAGCCACAGAACACTATATGCCCAGATGTTCAATGAATATGATATAGGGAGAGAAATATATACCAATGCCCTCTCAGGAAGTATACATTCTCTCTTTGTTCTAGACTCTTATTAGGATTTATTTCTACGGGTAACCAAACTGAGCAGACACTGAAATTAGACTTTCACTAAGCCACTATTCCAATGAGTTCTCTTCCAAGCTATAAGGTTTCTATTAACAGTGGAGAGATATTACTTTGGATTTATGTCAAAATCAATACAGTGGTTTACTTGTCCTCCAACTGTATTGACACTGTCTCCGGGACTCTATTTGCTTGGTACTTGTAAAAGAGGGACAGTATTCCAATGAATAGGGCCCCTGGGCCAAGCACAGCTTCCCGTGGAAGCGGAGACTCCTTATAGCTGAGTTGAATTTGGTCCAGCATCATTCTCATAGAAAAGCTCTGAACAATTTCTACTTTCTAGTGAATGTGTGAAAGAGAATCTTTTCTTTCTGGCTGGGACTCCTGAACGCAGCTGCAAAAGACAGCTTGCTTTTATCCTGCTCAGCTGGTATCCCACATAATGTGCCCTGACTTCTATGTCTCCTTCAGTTTTATTTAGGAGGCAGTTATTTCATGCAACATTTTAGCAATGAAAGGTACAATTCCACCTACATCCATAATTTCAATGCACCTGAAATGGTTGGTTAAATAATCAGACTTTGATGTGCATTCCAGAAAGACAGCTAATTAAAGCATGTTTACACTGTACTGTGTAATGCAGCATACAGAGACCCAAGGTAGCTCAGGTGTGTGGAAAAATACAGCTGGACTAACCCACTCTGACTGCACTGGCACCTCTGCAGAATCGAAGTAATCAGAGAATAAAGTGCCTATAATTGTAAGAGGTAATAGTGACTGTAGGTGTTGCATGCAACATGAGTAGCTGGGGAAAAAAAAAAAATCAAAAAAATCACAGTGTTATTTCCAAGTCAGTCATCTTAAGCTCTTAAAATATCAGTGTTAGTGATGAAGTAATCCTGCTATAACCAAGTTACTGAGTACTCATAAAGAGCTTGGACAAAGGCTGTTTCTTATTAAAAAGGACATTAATGTCTTGTGAAGAAGAGATTTTAAAATACTAAATGCTGCATGAATGAAGCAGTCCACTTCTAGGATGATCACTGATGCTGAAATAGCTATGAAATGACTTTTCTAACATATTCATGAACAGTTGGTGCCCTGCATGTAAAAAATAATCTCTATTTCTGCTTCTGAAAATGTATATATGCTAATATAATTAAGGAGAGTATACTGACTTTTTTAAACTACGCTCAAAAGAGAATTTTGAAGAAAAGAGACTGCTTCTGCTGAGAGTACAGATACAGAAGAATAAACAAGTGCTTGTATTTTAGGACTCCCTAGTCTTTTCTGCCATGCTCCAAGGACTACATCATTGGGAAAATAATGCTAGTTAAGCTTTTGGCATTTTACATTATAATGGCTTGTGAAGAGGAATTTGTTTTTAGAGAAAGACAGCCTTCTCCTAATGGCAGAAATTAAACTAAGTTACATCAATGGAATCAAAATGGGGTAGATTACCTATGACTGCAGACACAAAACTAGTTACCAATTTAAAAAAGTCAGGACTCCCTCAGACCAATTATTAATGGCTTTCCATTAAACTGGGAGAGGATCTTATACGGAATCTTATACAGGATATAAAATGGCCTACCTGGACTATTTTACTCAATATTTCTATGGATTATGCCATTGGCATACTCCCTTGAGGTAGCTGTAGAAAGCAATGAGGTCTTCCCCGCAGCCCAGGTCTCCTTTTCTCCAGGCTACACAAACCCAGCTCCCTCAGCCACTGCAGATCTTAACCATAATGTGGAAAACATCTTCAGTGCCTGTGTCAGTTTTACTTCCTCAAACTCCTGGAATGAAGGGAACCTTACTGAGATGGGTAAGTCTCATCTACACTAAAAAGCTACTGGTACTGAGAAGGTTCAGAGAGTGCTTTTTGATAAAATATTTGAGGATAGCAAATACTTCAAGAAAAATAAGCAATTTGCAATGATACACAATCTTTAGAAAACAATATCATCAAGGAAAAGGTAGCACACAAATCTGAAACCTCAGATAATAGGGATAGTAATAAGCACAGAATCCTATTTAAACTGAGGGCAGGGAAATGGAAAACCCAAGCATGCATGCAAAATGGCAGAAGCTAAAAACAATACATAGTAAAATTGGAAAATCTTGTTTTAAAATAATAAACTAACATAATTGGTAGGACAGTACTGACATAATTGGATAGAATATATGCTTTACCGGGTGGAAGGAATACAGAAATAAGATGGTCACACCAGAGGGGAAAAACATACTATATACCACAGAAGGCTTAAAGACAAATCAGATTAACAAGTTAATAGTGTTAACAAGCATTAAAGGATCCTTTGGATTGAAATTCCAGGTTTAAGTAGTGGTGGGTACAGTTGATAGGACTCTGTTTCTAACCATTCAGACAGAAGATGCAATAACCATGAAATGCTAACAGAGACTAAACAACAGGTGCCAGGGAAAGAAGTACAGCAATAATGACATATTTTAGTCACCTCCTTGTAGCAGCCTGTGCAAATCTCACACCAAGATATGATGAAAACAGCGTTTTTACGCAATGTACTTGTACCATGAAGCAGTCATGTTAGAGATTCATGTGAAAAAAAGCCAACTGAGCAGTGCAGGAAACTTGATTTTAAGACAGTCTTTCTAAGGATACACATTTTGACAATGACCATAATGGGGTATAAAAATCAACACTGTTGACTAAGCAAAGAAAGCCATAAAAACCTTTACAACAGTGATCTCTATCTCAAAACAGGAGGGCTATATTAAGAAAAGAAGGTTTTAAAAAGGAACAGAAAGTGAGTACCAAAGGGTAAAGCCTTTTTCAAATGCAGGGGCACTTCGAAAACACCATGTAGGTGAAAAAGAACTAGTGCCTGCCAGCTATTAAAAGACAATTTCAAAGCAACCAGAAGGAAGTGAGCCCAGTTGAATAGTACATAAAGAGAAACTATCAGAAATAAGAAACTATTCTTCAAAGAGCTGAAGTTGCATCCAGATGTGGCAAATACAAAAGACCAACCAGAAGACAAAATAAACACTACAGTAAGGCAGCCTCCTCCCAAAAGTGAGGGTCAAATCACAAAAGGTATAAAAACTAACACCTATCCTTTGTCAAAACCTGCAGGGGCAGAAACCATACCAGACAGCACGCAGGTCAACAGATGATCAAGGAATGAAAAGAGAGCATGAGTGAGGATTTTTTTTAAACACATGTTCAATATGGAGGAGCTTGGGTAGGCTCCTGTGCCAGAACTTTTCTTTATGGGTAACATGATATAGTATCTATCTCAAAGTGAGGACATTAAAGAATCAAGTAAGTGGTAACAAAACACCAGGACGAGATGGCAGTCACCCAAGAGATCTAAACTCAAACACAGTGCAAAGACTCTCACCTAACATCACCTGAAATGACAGAAAAAGAATGTATCGATACAATGCCATCTTTCAAAAGAGATATGGGGATTACAGGTAGACATTTGTATATTTAAAAGATTGAAGGAGAAGAAACTATAGTAAAGAAGATGAGTATGCACTTGGGTGAGTATTATATATTGCAGCAGAGAAGACATAGTTTTCTGTACAGGTAAATTACAATGACAAAACCTCCAGAATATTTCTGAGGTGACAACCCTGTGAATGAGCAAAGTTTGGATGATGTTGGACACCTTTACGATACCAAGTTAGACTGATCAGAGGGTGCCTTGAAGACATTTAAAAAGTCCATATGTCTTTATATGGTCAGTTGATGAAAAGTTATTAAAACACTGGCAAAAATAAATGGTTGGTTTGCACAGCACAGGAAAGTTGCTGACAGATTCATGCTCTCGACCATGATCTTCAACATATTGATAAATGATCTGGAAGAAAGTAGCAAGTAGCTTTGAGCAAGTTATTGAAAGTTCTAGAGAAAAATGCAATGTTAAGAATTCTCAGCAAATGAAAAGGAAAAGCCTCTCCCTTTATTAAGCCACAGAACAAATACACAGTGAGACTAACATGTAAACTTTGTGCACAGCTTTGCTCTTCATCTTGAGGAACAATACAGTGGAACTAGCAGAGAAATGGAAGAGAAACAAGGATAGCCATAGGCATGAAAAGTCTGGAAAGGAGGAAAAAGAAGATTGATCAGACCTTTTCAGGTGAAAAAACTCAAACAGACTGAGAAGTAGTTATGGCCAAGATCTATAAAATAAGGAATGACACAGAAATGGGAAATAAGAAATGACTGCTCGTTTTGTCTTCCAGTACAAGAGGCTAGGGGATATCAAGTCAAACAAGAAAGCTGTTAAGTTGGACAAGTTTCAAAATAGAGATATGTCCTTATACAAGGTGCTGGTAAGATGCAGAGCTGCCTGCAAGAGATTACTACATACAAAGAAGAATTATATGGGTTCAAGAAGGAGCTTAACAAGTGTGTCAAAAAGAAAAAACAAACAAACACAATGAACTCACTGCAAATTAATAAATATATAAGCATTGCCTTTAGTTGAGAGACTGAGTATTGAAAAAAAAGTATTTGGATGTATCACTATTGGCTTGCTTCTTCTACACCTCATTAGGGATCCATTCCTGCCTATCTATCTAATAGAATAAAGGGCTGGAAGGACCGTCAGTCAATGGCAGCATGGATGTTCTCAGCTATCCAAGCATCATAAGGAAAATGTACTTTTAACAGTAAATATTTACTGTAAAAGAAGTAGATAAGAAAGACTAGTTCCCAAAAAATACTTGTTGGGGTTTTCTGGTGGTTAATAAATAGTTTCTCACTGAATATGTACTAAGTTTTAGGTTGACATATAATATAAAGCTGTCTTTTTTTGGTGAAAGACACTCAGGCAGTTGAGCTGTTTTGGATACATGATCTCATTTACCACCCCTTGTCCTTCGTTTATAGTCAATGTTTATTTACATGCCAGCTATTGCAGATTTGAGATCTCCTGCCTTAGTGCAATGGTACTAAACAGAGTAACAGAGGTTAGAGGTTTCAGGATCTGCAGGTTTTAAAAGAGAGGTTTATTCTCTGTTCTTGCAGTATGTTATGACTTAGCCATTAAAAACATTTATGGCTTAGATTTATGCCTATCAATTATAATTGCGTTTTTACACTTCGTGTTTTCTGAGAAGATAATAATTACATCTTTCCAAATGGAAAAAGAGAATATTGCATTTTCTAATAGATAACTTTTTGACAACTTAAAGGAGTGCTGTTTTGAACAGACCTACTGAGCCAGAATATCATGCTCATTTACTGCATCTTCTAGCTTGAACTTCAGCTTCTCAGTGCTTGTTCTTGCCATTTAAATTGCCTGTATCTCAGCCTTTTCATAGTTCCATTTTCACTGTACCCAGATCATTATCTATTGAACATTTCTAGAAAGCCGAATATGATAGCTGCACAGTTGCCAATGTTACAAGTCTTAAAAATACACTTTTATACTCACTTGTAATACAGCTTTCAAGGCAGTTGCTACACAGTGATTATATAAACCAGTAGCAGGAGTTTTGAGTAGACTTGCCAGTTCTACCTTCCCCCAAACTAAACTTCACAAACAAAAAAACCCCCAAACCAAACACTATATGCCTACAGACTCCTTTATTCCAGTATCTATTTTACACACAAAAATGCCCAACCCACACAATGCTACATTTAATTTCACAGAACAAAATCTAATCTGTCTATTCGGATCCTGAAGAGGCTCCTATCTGTCAAGTTCTAACATCAAAATTACAGTCAAGTTAAGTTAAAATTATGCTATGGAACTAGATATCCATTTCTTAATATTGGCATTTTGCTTATATTCCACATCCTAACAACACAAGGAAAAGTACCTAATAGCTAAAACGATATAAAAGAAAAACACTGTCATAAATATATTTCAGTTTTTAACTTTCACAAGAAAATCTCTAATAAAAGTCAAACACAAAGAAAACTTGAGGATGTGATAATCTCTAATTTTGGGCAACTTTTTTCACTGCATTACCTAGCTCCCATAGATGTTAGCAATAAAATCCCAATCTCATCCATCAGAGGACACAGTAAGTGAATTCATACATGCATAAAGCCCTAATGAATTTAAGGGGACTCATGTTTAGGGAGGTGATTTTTGAGGCAAGAGTTTCCAAGGAGTAGTATTTTGAATGTAAATATGAACAAAGATGCAAATATGTTGTGCAAAAAGTTAAGTGTTGTGATATTTTAAGTTTACACAGGAAGCATCAGAACTTGCCTAATAAACTGAATTTGAAGAATATAAAGTGATACTTCAACTGAGCAAGAACTTGCAATCAGGCTTAAAACAGAAATGAAAGCTTACAATGAAACACAAGAAAAATTAACCACTGTTACATACAAACACATGGCAGTTCTGTTCTTTCAAACATGTCCAAAAGGATGCTTAGAATCCCTAGTCTTTTGACATTTTTCCTATTTAAAAAAAAAATCAATTTTTCTTCAATTCCTAAAAAGTTTGTTTGAATCTCAAGCTTCTCGAAGAAGGAGATCATACACTGGATTACAGTTTCAAAGAGAATTAAAAAATGAGTTTGCCCAAATAAATACTATTATCTCCAGTCATATGGATTCTCATTCAAAGACCTTTTCCCATTTTACTAAGTCTGATAAAAAGCAATTTACAGAAGTTTCAGTCCTATTAACTGTTCTATCGAGAACAACTTAATTTGTTCAACATGGGCATAAGAAAGATAGAGGTGAATTTCACTGTTAAAGACTTACCATAGGTTGCAAATGTTCTTCTTTGTTGTTCAAACATGAAATCATTGATGTGAGCTGGTTCTGCATATCCAGAAAGCATATTTCTAGGTGCGGCCATTTGTTGAGTCCTAAATGGGTTTTCTGGTCCAAACTACATCAAAAAATATTAAAACAAAGTATAGCAGAATGAGTAATTTCTTATTTTTGTGTATGTAGGTTTTCAGAAAAAAAAACCCACAGGGAAAAAAAAAAGATTTGTCTTTCAAAAATTGTAATGCAAAATCACTTCAACTTTGTATTTGGTTACAACTACTGAATAAGTTTCTTAGTCTGTTATTTTACACAGTAATCACACAGTTGCTTTGAATAGTTAGTTTCGTGTTTGAACTTTCTGCCTGTATTACAGAAGACAAATATCAACTACTTGACTTGCTGATACTTGACAGTATCAACACATACAGTCATTCAGTATGTGACCAGTAGAAGCATTCAGAAGACAAAACCACAGTGTACTGTCCCTTCTAAGGGGAGGAGATCGAAAAAAATGTATCAGGTCCTACTAAACTCATGTGATTAATACAGAAATTACACTGCTAACAATATTTTTCTGCATTTAAAAAGCAATTAAGGACTTGCTGTATTATTCCAGGAAAACAACTAATGAAACCCTTCCTTTCTTTTCTTTTTGCAAGATGACAAATGCCAGTCTTCCTGGTTATCATGGCTAGGAAGAGAACAGTGACTACAAATAAACGCAGTACACTGAGACTAATATCACACTAACTTTAACTGTAACCCCTATGCTTGTCAGCCATACTAAACACCTGACACTCCCACAATAGGTTTCCCTCACTAAAACATTTACACACAGCAGCACTTTTATATCAGTACTTTTGCTCACACACACCATGGCTTTGATACATCGCAAAATGCAAGCTTGCTATGAAAAGGCCAATTTATGTGGTTCCACAAAATGTTTTCTAAACATAAAGCATAACTAATATAGAAATCTGAGATTGCTGCAGCATTTGTCTACCTAGAATACTAACTCCTGGTCTTACAGAAGACAAACTGTACAAAGAAGTTAAATACTGGAAATAGTTAAATGCTCGAACAGCTATTTTTATCTTTCCGATAGCCTGTCAGTTATAATAAAATGGAAAGTGGTTCACATGGCACCAAGTAGTCTAAATTCAGCCTAAAATAGTTTTTCGCTATACACATTTAGAACAGCTCAAGTTACTAATATTCTTAATACTGATGTGAATAATTAAACTGAAAGTGCTTTGATTTTAATTTTAAATCCTCTTCTTAAAAGCGTTATATCTGCAATAACGTTATATCTTAAAAGCGTTATAACTGTTCATTTTGCTCGAATGACCACAATGAGTAAATACCAAAAATGTGAAAATAGTCAGAGACCACTTTAATGCAGTTCGTGTTTTGCTCAACATCTTTATAATGCTATTTTACCAGCTTAATTTTTAATTTCCATAGCTATAATTCTGATAAAGATTTTAGGAATCTTCTTAGAAGAGCTTTATACAGAACATTAAAATTCAAGCATTAAAAATACCAACACAGCTGTGTAGAATCTGTTTTTTTAATTTGTCAAAACTAGATCCCAAAAAGCAGTGAGCATCCAAAGAAGTTGTCTTATAGGAAATTCACATGAAATTTATAGAACCTCTGCCCTCTAAGCCAAAGGCATTTCCGCTCTAAAGATCAATACTGCTCCTTACCTCAGGTGCAAACATAGTTTCATAAGTGGGATTGTATTGAACTTCCTTGATAGCAGGATCAAGGTGGACTCCTGTTTCCACATCTTCCTGAAATAAAACAGACATATTAATAAACCATTTTTCACATGTAGACTTTTAAATACACGACATTAACTTCTTTCAGTCCAAATTAGGGCTGTGGTTCAAGGTGACACTTTTAGCATTATGAAAGGAAAAGAGTACCTTGGTCAAAGTTTCTATTTTTAAAACATATTGACTGCAAAACCAGTGTCAGTCCATCACTGAGAAATTCATCTAAAACATGTGCAGAATTTTGCATGTGAATTACTGCTTTTTTTTTAAAGACTTCATGCACACAGTGTAAAAAGAGCAGCAAGATTAGAGAGCAGAGCTTTTTTTTTTTGAAGATGTTTGAAAACCAGCCTTGTAAAGACGAATCAATTAAAATGGTCACCAATACAATATAAAGGTATGAAAGAGAGTTCTACAAAAGGTAGAAGGCAGAAGTCACAAGTAAATGTTCTGAAAGACAGTTGTGAAAAAAATGTTACCCATCAGCACAAACATTAAGTATAACAATGATTTTCAAAGAATCTAACAGTTCCTTACCTCTAAGTTTTTAACCTAAAGGAATAAATGCAATTCAACTTTAGTACTTAAACATATTTCCAAGTCCATTGTGACAAAAATTTAACTTGATAGATGAAGGGACAAGAAAGAAGGACTAACCAAAAAAATTACTTAAAGCAACTCAAGGGGAAAAACTCAGAAGGGCACATGCAGCTGAAACAGAAGACAGAGAAGTTGGTAAAGAAAAATACTGATAAGGTAGTAGCGCTCGAAAAGACCTGGTTTCACAAAACTCTACGAAGGCTCACTTACATTGGTTCTAAATTGACAGTACCTCCCCCCTATCAAGAGTTCAGTTAATGAAGGAGAACATTATTTTTCAGAATTATTACTTGCTTCCTGTACCTTTATTCTAGTATAATAGTAATTCAAAAGGACTCAGAGGTATATTGATAACATCCCTAGTAATTATACTGAAAAAACTACCTTAAGCATCAGTGTTTAATCAGTGCTTACCTACAACAGGATCCAAAAGCATTTGTGACTCATGGAAAGAAGTGGCACAACAGAGGATCAAATTTTAGCAGTCACTTCATTAACAGAAAATTACCTCAGAGAAACTCAGTCTTGCTTTGTATTACAGTATCTTGAAAGAGCAAAGTGGCACATTCTTTACTTGTTTATTATTGTTAGCTATTCTCTGACATGCTGTGGCTAGAAGCTTTTTTTCTCCCCAGTTCAATAGCAGGTCAATTACAAATTTGCTCATGCATGCAAGACTCTATAACAGATTTTAAAACCTGGTTTTCTAGAATGCTGAAAAGAAAATCAGTACCTAAAGATCTTTGGCTTGTTATCTCAATATATTTGATTAATACTGCTCAAAAAAAAGGGAAAAAAAAGGATATTAAAGGAAAAAAAAAGGCATGACATCAGCAATCCTGTCAATTGTTTTTCTGCTAAGGCCACTGTCTTAGTAGAATTAAGTCCAACCACAAAGCTTTACTCTCACCATGTATCAATTATTTTACCAAGCAGGTACAGCCATTGCACTGATCTTGCTTGAACCCTTAGCACTGCCAGTTCTTGGCCTGACCCCTTTTTTCTCATCACACAACCTTTTAAATTCACTGGGCTTGGATGACAATGGGTACCAGTACATTCAGAGCCCTGACTGTCATACACTATGAACTTGCCTGGAAACAGCACAGCAGGCCTAATCCAGTCATTCACCAACAAAACCAGACATTCCCAGCTAGAATAGGAGCATAGAAAAAAACAGTTCCTAACCTGTATTACCTATACACTTAGATTTCCTTTCATAGCTCCATGTGCTGAGGACAGTTTCCACAGACAACTTTTTCAAGTCACATCCTACAGCTCAGTCTGCCAACTAGACCTCACATCTTGTCCACAAAACTTATAATTTGAGAAAATAAAAATTAATATAATTGATAATAAGGCAAAATGTATCTGATCAATGGTTAGTGACATTTAAACAGTGATCAGTTTACTTGAAATTAAGATGCAGGTTTTTTCCTGCTCTTTAATCTGAAAAAGTGAGAAAAATCCAGTTTTGCAAAAACGCCAAGAATTTTTCAGTTCTGCTATTTTTCCTCCGCCTTTCTTTCTGTTAAGTTCTATTATATGCTGCTTAGTAATTGAGAAAAGAAACAGATTGTGCCATGAAAGCTGATCCTCTGCTGGACGATTATAGTAATTCTGGTTCTACTTCACTGCTGGTGGAACAGTGCTGAGTCACTTGGAAGCCATACAATATGTTCACTCCTAGACCACCACAGGCACAGTCTTTCTGTGTGAAAACCATCGAGCCTTGAAACTGAAGCACATGTTATATTTATCAGAGCCACACTCCTCAAGACCTCTGGTCTTACTCATGTTTTCATAATTTGGGGCATCAAATGATGATCTGATAATATGCTACTGAAACATACAGTGGTTACCTTTTCATTATGCCACTTTGCCTTAAACTATATAATAATTTGAACGTGTTCCAACTCCCCACTTTACCTTCTCAGTTATTTTAAAGAATTGAAATCTTGATAGGAATATAAAGTATTGACACAACATATTCTGACATATTAGTCTATGGTAGAAGTTCAAATTGCAGCAGACAAATAAGCCTTTGATCAACATCTGACAAATGCTATTTTGTACGGCATTACAAGACTCTGATAGGTAGCAGAAACATTAAAAATATTAACGTAGCCCATCAAACATTTCCCAAACTGCCAAGCTACCTGCATCAGTGTGTTTTGGCTGTTTTTTTGTTTTTTTTTTAATGAGAGAAAAGAACTCATCAGCAAACTCTGCACATGGTGCAGATCTCCGGGTACGACTGCATGCATTGCCAGAAGACCATTTCAGCAGAACTCATCTTTCTAAGACCCAGAAAGCAAAAAAGGTAAATACAGGTCTTAGGACTCTGTCCTTTATGCTCGCAACAGCCTTAACTGCATGCATTCTAGATGGATTTGCCATAGCTACAGTTCGCAGGGAAGGGATCACAGGAGCAGCAGTCTGGCAGAGCTGTGACTGAGATAAGGTATCTAAGGCATCTCGTCTCTCTACAGTGCTGTAGCTTTTCCTTTCATCACACAAATATCTTGATTTATCTAAAAGCCTAAGGTGAGCAATTCATCATGTAGCTTATGTGCCAAGTGTGACAAGTGGCTCTGTGGGATGGAAGACGATCAGCAGCTCGGCTGAAAGAGGAGGGCATCTGTGAATTCAGTGATGGGCCAAGTATTACCCTAGATCACTTTCCACCCTCAAAGGCACAGGAATCATCAAAAGAGGAGTCAAAGAGCTGTCAACTTAAACAGATACAGTGTTCCTCCAGAGAAAGATAAAAGTTTAGATGTAGGACTGGCAGAAAAGCAGCCTGTGTTTGCTGCCACTCAGAAATTGTGTAAATATGGGCTTAATGGCATTCTGTAATATCATTAAAGGTGGTACACCACGTATAACCTGCGAGAGAAGAATGAAGGTGTTAGGAAGTTATATTTTACTGAATATGGCTATCTTGAAAGACATAATACAATGGAGCTGCAAACTTCAGCTCTACGTGTGACCTCTCTGCTTTTCTCACACTGGTAACAAGCACCCCACTGAAATACAGTAGCCACATTGGGCACCACATATCAGGTAAGGCATGTGCTACTGAAAAGGATCCAAAGGAGAAAAGTCAAGAATGATCAAAGGTTTAAATTGACCCTAATTCAGCCTAGAAAAGATTCAGATTATACAACTTTGCAGAAATTGCTCAGTCCATAGATCCACTGAAGTTTGGTTAGTTGAGTGTCTGTCCAGACAGATGCAAGTATCACTCCTGATACAAGGCAAAAAGAGGTAGATGATGCCATATCACCAAACTATTTAGTGTGTTGGTTGTGTTGTTGTTTTTTGTTGGTTTTTTTTTTTTTTTTAATATATAGTCTACTTGCAGTATAAGGCTGATTTACAGTTCAGATATGATTTGATGAGGTAAAAAAATTCTTGATACCAAAATGCTCTCCTTTTGCCTCTTTTGTTCTACAACACAGCATCACACTGTTATAGGGGAATGGCACTCAGGGCTGTACTCTGGAGTATTAGCATTGCCTAAGGAATCTATCTCGAGACAGAAAGAAGCTTTCGATGCTAAGTGTAGACAAGCAGGTGCTTCATTACAACTCCCCAGAGATCACAGAATGTCTAACTCCTTCAAAGGCATGCTCCTTTAGCCCCACCATAAGGGCCCTTCTGCCACTTAAGAAACAGCACAGAAAATAGATGGTATTTTAGACTACAAATACAGTAAATCACATTAACTTTCATTCTTAACAGGTTTCTTAAACATGCCACAGTCTTGTTTTTCTTCAGAAAAACCCCACCTCAATGCCATAAACAAATACTGTTACTTTCTGTGAAAAGTACTTGATTTACAGACTACAGAATAGTTCAATAATAAAACAAATTCACTCAAAAAAAGCTTGCTAGAAGTTTCTTTCTATATGCAAGACATACAGAAAGACATACAATATGTAGGCAAGACAAAATTTTTTTAATTAAACAGAAGCGAAATCCCTGTAATAGGCAACAAAGTAAAGCCTTAAATAAAAAAACCCAAGCTGCAGTACATACTGCAACACTGGATAGTAATTCTGTTCCTTAGAATGATTATAATGTTGATTACGCTTTCCCATTTCATCTCATGCAAGCAGAGAGTTTTGATGTCTATGTTGGGGTTTTTTCTTTTTTTTTCTGGACATTTCAGATAATAAACCTACCATGTTCCATTCTCCCCAGGTAAATTCATTACTAATTAGTCAAACAGCTAAAAAGGGCAGACTGCTTTGCATAATATTTAATTAGTTTTAATTATCGATTAAATTAAAATGTGGTAAATTAAGACCACATCCCATGAGCCACGGAGGCTTAAGCAGTTTGTCACTCGCCAGTTCCTGCATCAACCACTTGGGCTGTCAAATACACATTATCTCATCCTAAAGATTTTCAAATTTATTACCTAGAGACAAACAGCATTTGCAGTGAAGCTCCAACATTAAGATATGGCTGTTATCAGCTTTTATTCTTTCTACCCATCATACACTCTTAACAATAAACAACCACCCCACTACCTTCAACAGAATAAAAATAAACCAGCAAGAGAAGCATATGCTAAACTATTTTGTTGGGATTCCTGGCATTTTGCAGGAGGACCAGACTATCCTTGTAACAGTGCAAACTTCTTGCACACCCAGTACTTCCTGGCATGGGAATAAGCCCTACTACATGTTGCGTGAAGAGTTGCATCCTTTTGTTTGTTTTGAACCTAGCTCCTACTAGTTAGCTTATAGTTGCTGTACAGTGAGTACTCAACCCCCTCTCCGTGCCATTTAATGACTTTGTAGGTCCCTGTCGATACTTTTCACCTCAGTCATCTCTTTCTCAGTTTTGGCCTCCTCAGTAATTCCTCATACAGAAGCAAGACACCTCTTCAACCCTGCTGCCCTTCTCTGAACACTATCAGTTACAATGTATCCTCTTCTGTATGAAGGGACCAGAAGCACACGTTTTCATCCTCTGTTGCCTTCCCCCAGGTGCTGTAACGCTTTCAGCAATTTAGTGGTACTAAAAACAGTAGCAGAAACATGCGATTTCCGTCTAGTTGGTTTTCCAACTTATAATGAAAGAAGTAGATTACTAGCTTGGAGTAACCAATAATTATAAGTCAATGTTATCTGAGTAATTTAACATCAAAGATCAACAATAAGCCTATTTTAACAAGCAGACTGTAAGAAGAGAGTTTAGCAAAAGTCATCCCCTCACACTTTTAAAAGACAGTTAGAAATCTTTAGTACAGCTTTCAATTATAGAAGAATTATTTTCACAGAAATATGATTTTATATAACTATGATGTACTTTGAGGCAAGGACTCAGCAGATTTCTTATAGAATAACAAAATACATCTCAGGGCTGTATTTGCTATGCACAATTAAGTAACCCAAATGGTGTTAGCTGAATGTGCTAACAACTATGCCTTGCTAATAAAGAGAGCGAGGACCTATTCCTCTTTAAAGTACATGTAAGTCTAATGTCTCTGCCAGTTAACAGGCCGAAATTCTACAATTAGAACTAGGATGCAGAACACCAACCACTTAAGATTTGCATTCTCAACTGCCAAAAATGCACTTGTGTGCAGCCATTGTTTACATTTATTGTATGACTAACCCTTGTAACCTCCCTTCTTACCACCATCTTTGCTTATCCATTCCTGGTCCTTTGTACAAAACGTATCCATGCTCCTAAGAGTAACTGATCCTTACTCATGTCAAAACAATATTTGCACAAGTGCAAATGAACTGTAACTTCGCTTTCCTACTTGCTCAGCTTGCCATTTTTCCAGGGCTGTACTTAAAGAACATTTGTGACTTACACTCAAACATCATGTATTTCACATTTGTTTAGTAAGGGCTTTCTAATTCTAAAGAATTGGGGCAAATTCCTGAGGAGGTGACTGGTAAGCTTCCACTGATGGGTGGGATTGTATCATTTTTAGACCTGGAAGGTGTTGAGAACGTGTTGTCTACTAGACCTGCACTTACTTCTTGAACCCAAAAAGAAAGCCTAATATCACTATAAAAAAAAATTATGTTACTCCTCAAAGAAGGTTGTGGTGCTAAAAGAAGCTGCAGAATGGTATGTTCTGAAAGCCTTAGCTTGACATTGTTGCTCTTCTCAGTTATATGTACCTCATCTGTGATCTCAAATCAAAATTATAGTCATTTTAATAGAACGTTTTGATACTCAGAAACCTCACTCCCTTTTTATCTTAGTTAGCATTATGTCTGACACAGAGGCAGTCCTAGATGTGCTGGTGGACACCCCTTCCAGGGCACAGCCCAGCAAATAGCTTTGAACTGAACGTGCTGCTGCCATCCAACTTTTTCTTCCAGCTGCTTGTTTCTGCACTGGCATTACAGATTTCACTGTGCTGGCACTGCATTTGTGCAAACAAGATCAAGGAATGGATCCAAGGACAAATAACGCCACTAAAGTTTTGGGGTTTTTTTACAATTCAGATCACTTCCCTGATGTCAGCCACTGAACAACTACATAAACCCTTCTGCTGCATGGCACAGGGAAAACCCATGGCTACAGCCCTAAGAGTGGTGAAAAGCACAGACAATGCTACTTGCAACTTGTAATCATTCACATTCAGGCAATATTACGGTTGTTAATTAGCTTTCCTTTTGAAGCTTCTACAAGACAACCTGCCAGACACTGCAATTCAAGAAGTCAGACCCTAAGGGATGAAAAAATAGTCACTATATACAATATAACATATACACACAAATATGATCAGTTGCAGCAGTGTATGAATTAACTAATGACCACAAAGTGAAAGATTCCATCCACCCCTTGGTCACAAAGTAGGAAACTTTTCAGAACAACTAGGAGCAACACAATAACATAGTGACAGTCATCACGGTGAGATGCTTGCTTTTGATTAGATATTAGCTGCCAGTACTTTCAGAGCCAACAGGAGTACCACAGACATGGTGTTTGTTCTCAGACAACTGCAAGAGAAGTGTAGGGAACAGAACAAAGGACTTTATGTAACCTTTGTCGATCTCACCAAGGCTTTCGATACTGTGAGCAGAAAAGGTCTGTGGCACATTTTGGAACGTTTAGGATGTCCCCCAAAGTTCCTTAAAATGATCATCTGACTTCATGAGGATCAGCATGGACAAGTCAGATATGGCAATGCACTTTTTGAGCCCTTTCTAATAACCAGTGATGTGAAACAAGGTTGTGTTCTTGCACCAACCCTATTCACAATCTTTTTCAGCATGATGCTCCAAAGGGCCACAGTAGACCTTGATGATCAGGACAGTATCTACATTCGATACCGTACTGATGGAAGCCTTTTCAATCTAAGGCGACTGAAGGCCCACACCAAGACCTTAAACCATCTTGTCCGGGAGCTGCTTTATGCTGAAAATGCCGCCCTTGTCGCCCACACAGAAGCAGCTCTGCAGCGTTTAACATCCTGCTTTGCAGATGCTGCTGAGCTCTCTGAACTGGAAGTCAGCTTAAAGAAGACAGAAGTTCTCTATCAACTTGCACCTCAGGAAGTCTTCCATCATCCCCATATCACCATTGGCGAATCAGAGCTCAAATCAGTCCAGCAGTTTAATTACCTAGGCAGCCTCATCTCCTCGGGTGGTAAACAACAGGTTAGCAAAGGCATACAGTGCCTTCGGAAAACTCCATAAAAGAGTTTGGCAAAATAAACACTTGAAGAAAAGCACAAAGATCAGTATTTACAGAGCCACTGTACTGTGAACTCTCTTACATGGATCCAAATCATGGGTCATTTACCGCCACCACCTGCGACTCCTAGAACGCTTCCATCAACACTGTTTCCGTACAATCCTAAACATCCACTGGTCAGATTATGTGACCAATACATCTGTTCTAGAACAAGCAGCTGTCACAAGTATTGAGGCCATGCTGCTGAGAACACAGCTGTTTTGGGCAGGACATGTCTCAGGATGAAGGACCACCGCCTCCCTAAGATCTTGCTTTATGGTGAACCTGCCACCGGCTGCCGCATGAGAGGAGCCCCAAAGAGAAGATACAAGGACTCCCTGAAGCAACATCTCAGCCTTGGCCACATTGATCTTCATCACTGGTCTACTCTGGCCTCCAATTGTCCAGAGGGGTCTAGAGACACACTATCTACAACACTGCTGCTTCTTTTGAGTATGCAGACAGGATCACTCTCGAGGAGAAAAGACAATGCAGAAAGAATTGTGTCTTGCCGATACCATCCAAGGAGTCTTTCTGCTGTGCCTTTTGCAACCGGACTTGTCTATCTCGCACTGGCCTCTTTAGCCACCAGCGCGCTTGTAGCAAATGTGGGTAGAGTCCTTCCCAAATCTTTGTTCGCGAAGCCTAGCCATGAGTTGCCAGTACTAAAATCCCAATGCCAAACCAGCACCTCCCCCGCCCTTTCTGGAATCACATAAGTGAGTCAATGTGCTACTGAACTTAGAAAATTAAGGTTTGCCAAACGAGACTGAAAAGAAAAACAGAAACACTAATCAGATTTCAGGCTGCCCTTTAGAACAGGATTCAGTTGCACTCGGCCTATCAAAATATCCACTTCACCTCATCAACCAGGAAAACCACACGGGAAAACATCTTAACTCAGGGAACAGCGGACAAGAGTATCTAAGAAACTGCAATCAAGGCACGCTCTGAGATGGAGATAGCACGCTTTAATAAGTTTAATCCTCACGGCTGGGATCTGCCGGAGTCCCTGACACGCGCCCTCCCTCCACAGCTCCGGCCCCGCACCCCGGGAGCAGGGCAAGGCCAGGCAGTGGTACCGCACCCCCGCCAGTCCCGCGCCCCTCCCGCCCCGCTTTCCCGGCTCGGGGCTGCCCCAGTGCTGTCCCCAGGAGTGTCCCAAGGCCGGCGGTACGGACCCAGTGCCGGGCAGGCGGGAGCCCCGGGCCCAGAGGGACGCCTACCTTCACGGCTACTTCCGGGGCCGCATCGACGGGCAGGGCCGGGGGCGCGGCGGGCGGCGGGCAGAGGTGCAGCACGGCGTCGCGGCTGGCGAGCACGGCGGCGGAGCGCTGGGAGCCGCCCTCGGCCTCGGGCTCCGAGTCAGGCTCCGAGTCGGAGCCGCCGTAGGAGGCGAGCGCGGCGATCGCCGCCGACATCTTAGCGCGGAGGATGACGGGACGGTCAGGTCCTGGCAGCTCCGCAGGGCTCGCCGCTTCCCTTCCCCCGCAGAACGAGCGGGCTGTGGCTGCGCATTAAAAATGTGGGTCATTAAAATGGAAAACACACTCTTAAAGATAGTTTATCTTTACGGGATATACAGCCGTTCGAGGGGGGATCAACCCCCTTGGCTGCTGATAGTGTTTAACCTTTCAGGACTCTCAGGAGGGACTACAAGCTCCAGCATGCAACGCGGCGCGCCTCTTGGGGGCTTTCCCCCAGCGCTCATCTGCGCTCTGCGTGGCAGCAAGGGAAAACATTCAAGAGCCTAGGAAGAGCTCCCGCCTCCTTCCGCACACAAAGGGTTTTCGCCGCCTCTCCAGCATAGCCTGGTGGGGCGAGGAGCCCGGCAACACAGGACCCTCGCGCTCCCGCCACCTCTGCCCCGCGCCGTGCCCCGGGGAGCCCCGCCCCCCGGCGCCGATTGGCTGTCGGCACCCGGCTTCGGTTACGTCACAGAGACGGGGCCCCGCCTCCTCGACCGGGGAGAGGGAGCCCGGCGGGCCGGACTGTACCACCTGCCCGCCAGCAGGGTGGGGGGCGGTGGCGCGTGGACCAACCCGAGCATCGGGCGGTGGGGGGGGCGGCCGGGTTCGGCCGCCGGGTAAACAGCGCTCCCCCCCTCCCGGCTCGGCGCGCCGGGCGAGGCCCCGCCCCTCGCGCGCGCACACACACACACGCACACACACACACACACACACGGGGACACGCGCGCGCTGCCCGGTGTCTATTGTGAAGCCGCCGGGGACGCTCCACGCCCGCCGCCGCCGCCCCCCGGCACCCGGGGCCGCCAGCCGGGAATGGCCGGCGCCGCGTGAACTTCCAGCTCCCCCGCGGCCGCGGAGGGAGGGGCTGAGGCTGAGGGCGAGCGGCGTGAAGGTGCGAGGCGAGGGCAGACGAGTAAGTGCCCCCCAGCCCCCGCTCCCTCCTCCCCTCGCGGTGCCCGGGGCGGGCGGGAGGGACCGGTCCCCGCTCCCCATCCCCGGCGGGAGTGCGGGACGCGCCTGCCCCACAAAGGGACCGGCGCTCGCCAGGTGTTGGCCCCCTCCCCTTTGTCCGCGCCCGCGCGGGGGGCGGCGGCGGCAGGGAGGGAGGGAGGAAGGGAAGGAAGTAGGGAGAGCGCGTCGCGGAGCCCCTTTCCCCCGTCTCCCTGCCGCCCCCGCGGGCAGCGGCAGGAGAGGGGCGTGTTGCGAGGCGGAGGAGGGGAGGGGGCCGCACTTGTGCCGGAGCGCGGGGCTTCCCTGTCCCTGCCCCTCTCCCTGTCCTGGTCTCCCCGTGTGCCCGCGCCCGGCAGGATCGCCGTGCGGGGAAGGTGCGGCGGTCGGGGCCGGGGTCAGCGGCGGGCGGGGGGCCGGGTGACGTCACCGCCGCCAGGTGCGGGGAGCGGCGCCCCCTTCCCTGCCCTCCCGGGGGACGCGGCCCCGCCGCGGGCACCGGGGCTGGCGGGGCAGGGGTGCGGGCGGGCGGCGGGCTCGCCGGCCGGAGCGGACCGGAGCGGGATTCGACCCCATCCCGGGGCAGAGCTGCTCGCTGGAACACTGCTACCATTGTTAGGCGCGCTCGGAGATCGCGGGGGATGGCCGGGAGCGAGGAGAAGCACGTAGGTTCCAACTTCTCCCAGCCCGCTCCAAAACGCCTTCCTGTGCGCCCGCCGCGCCCGCGGACAGGATGAATGGGAAATACAGAGCGCTGACCGAGAGCTGGATGTATCGCCAGGTGCGTGCATTGCACGCGCTTGCACCTGGAGCGGTACATTGCCATGACTTCCCTTGGAGCTGCATGTGCTTTCAGAATTAAAGTGAGCACACAGTGACATCTAATTGTGACACAGTGGCATTTAATCTGATTAAATGCTCTAGTTTGATTTTTCCACCCTTTTCAGCAGTTACGGTTTGAAGCATTTGTTTCCTTAGCTTGAGAAGATAACCACTTAGATTTTATTTTTTTTTTAAGATAAAGTAAACGTAGAGGACGTATCGAAAGTGTTTATAGCATGGAGTGGAACAAGGTGCTACGTTTAGATCTGTTCTATTAAACACAAGCATGCCTCTTCTTTGTATGCTAGAATCGGGATTTTAGGTAAAAGTCTCACATTTTCAGCACTGAGACCTTTTGTTTGCATCTCCAACAGCTGAAATATACTACATTCAACTGGCATTTCATATGGTAATGAGTTGACTTTTTCATCTTAAATCTATGGATGATGAATCCCTAAGTAAGGAAAGCTATATGATGCTTCAAATGAATCACTGCTTATTAATATCAAAAGTGGTTCTTCCACTGCAGTCAGTTTGTTTATTGGCAGTAATTGTTAACTGATTCCATATGACTGCATTCCTTTTTCTCCTGGTATGCAGATCCTGGGTGTTTTCTGAAGTTCAAAGGTGTGCCTCCCGAAAAGTGAAAAATTTCGAGATCTATTTCTGCAACCACTCTGTGATATTCTGTCTGGAGAACTGTGTTGAAAATCATTAAACTAATTCTGCTTTGTTATCCTTGAATTTTAAATTTTTAATTCATAAAGATTTGGTAGTTTGCTTAAGTCTGTTCACCTGTGTTTTGTCCAAACACTCTAGATTGCTTGCCAGTAATGTAATCATCTGGGATTCTAGATGCTTTCATTGTAGAACTTATGAAAATCACTTACTGGTTTAAATTAGTTGCATTTCTGGTACCATCAGGCTAGTATGTAAGCAAACACATGTGAAGGCATTCAGTGGGATACTGACTGAAGTTTTGTGTTGCTTAAATGGTAGCAAAGATAGCAAAGATTAATTTTCAGCAAGCATGCTGGTGTCACTTTTGGGTTTGAAAAACTGACTTGACTACACTTGAAAAGTGTAGGCGGATAATATACATAGTTATCTAAAATCTGGTTTTGTCAGAAAAGCTGAGAAATTGCTGCTGGTCATTTGTGGAGAGATATGTTAACACATTGACTATTAACTGCATATTTGTGATTTCAAGAAGGGGTTGATTGGTATAAAAGAAACCACAAGATTTTTTAAAAAGGTCTGCTCATTTATTACTGTATGTGTGTATGATTACTGTATGCTGTATGTTCTCTTTTAATTGGGTTCCACAAAACATCTTATGCGTTAGATGCTGCTCGTTTTGAATGCAGACTGAAGTAGTAGGTGGAAGGTGGTTTGGGTTACTTGGCTTTGCTTTCCATCCAGCTTCTTCACTGCTGTTTTTCCTTGCAGTCACTTTGCTTCTCTTGCTTTGATTTTCCAAAGGAAGATAAAAGCACCCCACTTTGTACAGCACTTTTGCATATAAAGAGGGCCTTTTTGGCACCTGTTTGTTATTACTCCCAATGGTAAATACTATACCAAGTATTACCCTGCCTTTTCCCCTGGACACTCATAGCATCTTTATTTCATGAACTTATCATTTGCCTAAGTAGTTGTCTTTGAGAATTCTACTTCTCTGTCAAATTTGGATGGATTCAACCAGTTTCCAAGTGGAGGAACACTCACCAAACACCTCTCCCTGCCCCAAACTTCCTGTATGAGATTGATTTCCTTAACAGTCTGGGCTTAAATATATTAAGTTTTAACTCAACATTTCACAGATTTTCCTTCACATCAGTCTCTTTCTTCCCTGTACTTGATAATGAAATCTATTTCCCTCTGCTTTTGATATATTTTGTCCTACTTTCTTTTCCCTTTACTTGCTCTTTCATAGCTCTTTTTTTGTTGCTTTCCAGGATGGAGGTGCTTTATCTCACACCCTATGTTTTCCCTTGGTTTTTCTTCCCCACAGAAAATGATGCGTATAATCCTGCTTATTCTATTTTTTTCTCTATATATGTTTTTTTACAGTCTTAAATTGCTATCAGCCCACTTGCAGATACACTCATTTCTCATCCACAAGAACTGTAAGTCTGCAGTTTTGAGGAAAGGGTAAAAAAAAAAAAAAGCATGATACTTTTCAGGCAGAGGATTGAACTAAAATATGAGGGTCTGTTGTCTGTGGGAAATACAGTGTTTGAAAGAAAAGTGTTTTTTTTCTTTTGTTCATATACTTTTGGCTGCTGAGAAAAGGTATCATGATGGAAGTCTTATCAGGTTACTGTTACTGCATTTGGATTGGGCCTTTTTATAACCACCTTGCCTGTGTGTCTGATGCATCTTAATGTATTCTAGTTTAGCTGCTTTGGAGAGTGAAGCACCTTTTGTAACTCCTGTTCTGCTTTTTCTACCGCCTTGGAGCCTCTGACTGCTGTAAGGGTGATAGTACCTCTTTTCCAGTTTTTGTGTTTTTGGACTATGTCCCGGATTCTGAAAGATACCAAGGCGCCAGATTGCAATAAGAGTTCTGTGTTCCAGTACATCTGTGAATCAGTCTCTTTAGGTTTTTTGGGAGGGATCTTGAGGTCGTCTGACACAGATTACAGGCTATATATTTCATGTTTACAAGGTGTGGTTTCACAGAGAGAAACACACAAGATAAGACTGAAGCAACTTAGACTGTGGTACTTATTTCAGATGACTGCAAACAAAGCAATTTTTTTGCAGAACCACTTCTTCCCTAGAGGATGGAAGCTGTGCAACCTCTTCAAACTACTCAAGTGCTTAGGCAGTGCTGTGAACTGCGTCTTATAGCACAAGCTGAACAAATGATGGGTTGGACAGACAGCAAAACTAATTATAGACTTTCAGGAATATGAACATAATTATCATAATTATAAATTATCATATCTTTAATGTTAGGTTTCTTAATTCTCTAAAAATATTTTTTTATCCGTTAAAGAACAGAAAATGCCATCAAAAGTGTATACATTTCTGAAAATATATTATGTGCCTATATTTTTGGGAGGATGGGAAACTAAATAAATAGCTTACTTATGCTAGTCTGTTGGTGTGATAAATTACATTATACACACAAAGAACTACAGAATAACAAATGTAGTTATGTTTTAACAAAGCACTTAACAAAGAGCAGAAATAATGAATAATT